CTCATTCCTATTATGACTGATACTCAGTTGGCAAGATGAGAGAAGGTGAACTTTTGATTCAATATGTGCAATGCTGTTGTTTTTTGGTTCTTTGGGTTTGTTTTTTGGCGTTTTTTGGGGGGTTTGTTTTTTAAATTAACCAGTTGCTTATGGCATTTTTGTGTCTCAGACTGGCACCATGGAAATAGAAAGGTACAATGGTACATGTCGTGCTCTGATAACAAGTCTAATTGTTTCAGCTTGAGGGGGATAACTGTGAGAAGATTTGAGAGGTGTTGAAAAGGATTTTCTTTTTTCCTTTAAATGTTCCTGAGATACAAAACATAAGTAAAAATTTCCTGCTCTAACTGTAAGTTCCCAGTGCTTACCCTCGCACTTACCCAGTAGAGGGGTTCATGATGCAACCCCCTTTATCAGTAGACGCTTTGCAGTTACAGCCCCTCTCCAATGTATCATGATTCATTCCAAAATTGTGTCCCAGTTCATGGGCCAGGGTGACTGCTGCACCCAGAGGGTTTTCTGAGTGATCCTTGGGAAAAAAAAACAAAAAACAAACAACAAAAGAACTAGTTAAGTCAACATATAAAACCGAATCAAAATAAACATTCCCCTTTCTAAGGTCCTATTGCCTGTCCTTTAAAATGTTTTGTAAACGTACCAGTTGTAGTTACACTGTTGTTAAATGGACACAATTTTAAATTCATCCATATATACCAAGTGCAGACCGGGCATCTCAGGATAGTCTATCTGTCCTGGCCACCCAGTTTCACAGCACATTAGACATTTGAGGTTATGAGGCAGCTTTGAACATCTGGGTCATCTCTTTATTTAGGACTTAAAATTCTCCTGCTCAATAAATGCCCCAAACTCCGAAGACATGGCACTGGCAGAAAAGAGTCACCCAGACGTGTTGGAAAGGGTAATTGTCTATGGGCAAGGACAAGCGTGAGAAGATCCTTCATGTCAGAAGGTAAATTGAAAATGCAGCAAGAAACTTCACTTGGTGTATTTAATATTCTTCAGAGCGTTTCTTTACTATCAGAAAGTCCAAGATTTCACATTTCTTGTAAGAAAAACCAAGTACCTTGGAAAAACTCCTTTTTAAAATGAAAGGGCAAAGCAAGTTGAAATCTTTGATGGCCTCTTGTTAACACCTATGAATATTCTAAAAGTTTCAACTGTCAAAATTGAATTATTAACATTGATCCTTGTTGAAATGCTGCTTTTTGGGACAATTATTTCTGAGAAATTAACTGCATGATCTGATTACAAGCTGCTGATCAGACTGATGTTTTGGCTTAACCATAAGTAAGAGATCTTTCCACATCGATCATTTTCCCGGAGGAAAAAAATAATCCACTGTACTCATATGAAAGCTTTTCCTTAAGGCATAAACATGTAATATAAATGCATGATCCACTATTTATCAGTCAGTAAATGGAATTACTATGTACAGCTGCCTGCTCTAAGAGCATATATGAATATATTCAGTTCAAATAACTCTTTTAGTATCATCTAAGCCAACCTTCAGACTAAAAAGAAGTGAAAGGTAAAACTGTCTAAAGCATGAGCTATATATTAATGAAGCCCTTAATACATGACTTGGAGTAGATTTAAGAGTTTCTTGTTTCATCTCTTCCTTCATCCGTCTGCGCTAATATTTTTAGTAAATCATTTCTCATAGAGAAAAACTAAAAAAGAGAATACAGTCATTCTGAAAATGAGAAACTACTCCTGCATTTGGAATAAACTCAGAAAATTTTTATCTTTTGACAAAGGGTCTCTTTTGTTCCTGGAATTTTAGAATTTTAATATAAAAATCTTGTGACTAACATAGCAGCCAGTTTGCATGCAGTTATAGTCTAAGATGCCTGTTTGCTGAAAGAAGCTGTACAACCTGTCGAAGTAAAAGAAAAACATAGTAAACCTGTGCAGCAAAATAATCGGTAATAATCAAGAAAAAATACGCTCCTGCACAATGCACAGATATAGAGATGTCTTATCTAGATACTAGTCACATACAGATTGATTTCTCTTTGTACTCATAGTAATTTATGAAATATTTAGGGAAGTCAATATAATCGAACCTGATGTCATAAAAAGAGCAAAACCTCTCACTCAAATGGAAAATAATGCAGGACCAAAGATTAAGAAAATAATAATGTAATTCTATATAATTTACCAGCAGCATGCTGGAGTGATGCCTTGAAATTAGGCTTATGTGGTCAAGACTGAAACTCCTTTAAGCTTTGAGCAACCTAGAAAGACAACAAACCGAGCTCAGTTCTTTTTTTTTTTTTTTTCATTTTGCCAGTCTCTCTTCCTGACCAGAGATTATATTTATTTGAACATCTCCAAAGCTGGCAATTAAAAACAAGAATGCACACAGTCCACTCCAAAACTAGAGCAATAAATGATCTGAAATGTCATTTGGGTCTTGAATAAACAAACAATTATTACAGCCCATGCGGTTCTCATTACTTGCTCAGAGCCACTTGGAATGCAATTTTATCAGCTTCTAGAGAGGGTTTTTAAAACAAGGAATGTGATGTCTCAGCAAAAGAGGTTATTTGAAGGCAGCATAAATGAAGATTATCAAAACAAACAGTGACATGTCCCATTTGATACTGAGACCATTTAAGTGTCACAAGGACTAAAGAAATGAATAGCAATGTGACTTTGATTTATTCCACTAGGGTCTTTTAAAGTTAATTTGAGCAGTAAAAGTCATTACCACACAGTTTCACAACGACTGAATAAGCAACCATCTACTGTTAAGACATTAGAAGCTGTTGCACAAAACATGCAGTTGCTTTTGGCTGAACTTTGCTTCATCCCACTGAGATTCAGATCAAATCATCAGAATAAAATACTGTCACCTACAGCTAGAACAGGTAAATGCCTCAGTCCTGGTACTTTCCATGCAGTTTCACTCCATTGTAGGAATGTTTCCTAAACCACACTTTTATTTCTTTTAAGTCATTGACTGAAATGGAAGTACCTCAGTTCCACTCTTGTCATTTAACCTAACTTCCCACTAAAGTCAATAGAAATTTGACATGAGTGAGAATACTACATTACATTGCATCAACCCAGCATTATTTTACTTTCAAATCTATTAATTTAATGGTCAATCTTTTGGAGCAGAAGAATGAAGACTGAAACATGCATCAAAGGCTTGCTTTAACATTAAATTTTGTTTGGTCTTTATACAACAAAACAGGACCATCACAGTAAAATAAAATTATAATGTTCTTGATACAACAAAAGCTTCTCACACACAGATGACTGTTTTCCCCACTTTGAGTTTCTCTTAAAATTCGTGGAAGACGGGGTGTCACCTACCACTGAGAGGACTCTGAGTAACTGCAAAAACAGTCAGGAAAATCGGATCATACGAGGATGACCCTGGTTTTTATATTCAAATCTTATTTCTCAAGAAATCTCACCATTATCTCTTCTTTCAGAACAGTTTTGAGAATGTGGGAGCTTTTTGGTATTGAGTGTTCAGGATGGACTGGGTAGGAGGTTGGCTGATTTATAAGGATGGCCAAATGTTTAGTTGCCCAGTTGAGATGTAGCTTCCCAGGTTAGCAGTTATTCCCTCTTTCACTTGCGTATCTTCCAAATTTAGTCTCCTTCTTCTGTACGTACTGGTATATATCAAAACTTATTGTACACACTCAAATCAGCCTTTGTTGACTGAGAGGGAAGGTTGGGCAGCTGCCCGTTTGGGTTTTGGGGGTGAGTGTCTGCTTGTTTTGGATTTAGCTCATTTTGAGGATTTGAATAAAGAACTGGAAAACATTTCTAGTGATGCTGTGCAAGCCTCTGGGCAACCAGGTCCAGTGTCTTCACCACACTCACAGGAAAGGATTTCTTCCTCAGATCTCATCTCAATCTCCCCTCTTCCAGTTTAAAGCCATCACCCCATGTTCTGTCAAGCCCTGCTCTTGTCCAAAGTCTCTCCCTGGCCTTCCTCAAGTCCCTTCAGGTACTGGAAGGCTGCTAGAAGGTCTCCCTGGAGCCTTCTCCAGGCTGAACAGCCCTAAAATGGGGCTGTCTGCCTCACATATGCCTTTGCCAAGATTTGGAAGTGCACTGGGAGACTCCTCCAGCTTTTTCTTCCTCTTTTCCTCCGTTTCCTTTTGTACCTACCCCCCAGGTACAGCTGTTAGAAACACCAATTAGAGACTCAGCTTCTAAAGCTACCAAAAGACTGAAGCCTTTGTCTTTTCTACAATTTTGACATGACCTTCTCCAAATTACGTGATTTGATTGTTCTTTCCCACTC